CTATTGATATTCTTACTTGAGTGTAGTATTAGCTTTGGTTATAGTCGGCGGATTCGAGTCTATGTCCGTATCTCCAAAGAAACGCAAGTTTTTGGGTGGTATGGGTGGTGGCGCTGTGTTAGTTCGCGCCGAATTTTTCGTACGTTTCATTGTTGAGGACTCGCTCTGTCCGTTAACCGAAACGTCAAGCTGTAGAGAAAGAATAATTATGATAAATAAATTTATTTATTTATATCTATTATTTTTTATTCCTTATTAAGTTTACAGTTTAAAGAATACCCACGACTAAGATACTTGGGGCCGCGGTGAAATCGCGGGCAATTGTAAAGCTGACGAACTGACAAGAAAAGGTATTCTAGCATCACTATCAGTAGAAAAGTTGGCGCTTTCATCTTTTAATGTGTTCTACTGCTGGATTGCTGTGACTAGGGGAAACTTAGCCAGCGCTGGGCTACAATCGGATCATGCGCTGCCGCAAGATCTTTTTGATCAAGATCGATCGTAGGAGAGGGCAGGAGTGGGCTCTTTGCCATCAGTAGGTATAGCCTCCTCCTAGGTGTGGGTGTCCGTAATGTAAGGTTGGGAATCTTATCGATCACCAGCATATGGAAGAAGACGTAATGGTGACATTTCAATATTGCCTTCTTCGTTGTCCCGAGTTTGCCAGATTAAGGGTTAAACACTTTAGAGCTCGTACTTTTCGACTTCCCAYTGAATTGGTCGAAATAGAAATTATAAATTTGTATTGGCTACTAGGCGTTTTGCTGATCTTATAAAGATCGATCACAGGAGTTCTATTTTTTTGTCTTCACAAAGGAATGCATATTGTGAACCAAATGCGATCTTTGGATCAGTCATCAAACTTAACCTTGCCTTTGACGCGTTCTGACGGATTTACTATTAACCGGTTATTTGGACTTAACGTTGTCGATGTTAAGGCAAAGCTGTGACATTATAATCGTTAGCTGAGGTTGGACTTTGATATTTCTCAGTGTTTTTGGGAGAGATATCTAGGAATTCATAAGCAAAAAATATACCATGTCTATATAAGAAAAAAAATATCAAGTTCTTGGTGTAGGAGTGACCCATATACTTGTAGATGTATGTCGAGTAAAATGAGGAAATCTGCCTTAAATATGCTGTCATCTTAATTGTTATCTACAAGTGGTCAAAGGATTTGGTTGTATCTTAATGATATTCTGCTAAAGTATATCAAGTTCTTAATGTTGGAATAACCCTTAGAAAATTAGGAAAGCCTTCTTGAATACTATATGCTATCGTCTCAACTGTTGTCTAAGGCCTAATTATATTTTGAAGATATTCTGGTATATCTCCAGTATGAGAGACCTACATATATGGGAAATTTAGGAATACTTATATATATCATCTGGCCTTATACAATGTTTTTCGCCCATCCAGAGCTCTGATGGCCGCCGATATCATCAACAAAGACTGCTTTATTATAATTTTCTATGTTTACAATTCCCTCTTAAGCCCTCTACTAATAGGTATTTGGGAAACGGTGGTATTGCAAGAGTGGAAAAAWTATTTTAATATTTYGGATAMATTTTTAGACSATGATTGACTTAACAAATGCACTACTAAGGTTACATTTTTTTGGGAATAACATCTAACTTACTTTTCCGACATTCCGATTTTCTAGAGGCTCYATGCATAAGGTATCTGGCGCCGTGGTCCTAAAAATTAGCTAACCATTATCGACGCCATTCTTATGGCATGTCAAAGAAATGTCGAGACTTGATTTGACATTACATTGAGTATGTAGTGAATTCTTCCCTATGCGGACACAGGCAAGATCAGCCTTTCTGTCCATATAGTAGATGGTTCTTAATAAAACATGAAATAATCTTGGAACCGGCTAATATGTACGATTAATGGGGATGCCTGTTCCCACGACGGTCGGGTATACGTAACCGTAACGGACCCGAATTTTTATAGTTCMAGGAATGGCAACTCGACAGATTTCTGCCACTCCTACAAGTTCAACAACATTAATGGAGACGTCTGTGTTGTGGAGCTTGGGACCGACCAAGGTGTACGATTAATGGCGATATCTGTTCACACGAAAGTAGGGTCTACGTAACCGGAACGGACCCGAATTTTTATAGGTCAAGGACTGGCAACTCGACAAATTTCTGCCGTTACTACAACAACATTAGTAAAGATGTCCGTAATCAGAACGGACTCGGATTGTATCCGACTGAGGACTGTGAACTCGGGAAATTTGTCTCGTTAGTGTAACTACAACTACATTAATGGAGCTGTGCGCATAATAGAGTGTCTGTTTAATAGAGCTTTCAATGTTTGTTTCGCTGAGTAATGAAAGTGAGCCCAAGTCATAGTTATCTGGACATCACGGATCAAAATACCTGTTCTTTCTTGAATAATTACACTTGGAGGACTGAGTTATGTGTTGAAGTTCATTCAAGTGAAGAAAGTTCTCTGAGCGGCATTCAGTTAGGAATAAAAGAAGCGATTATTATACTCTCGCAACAAAGTTGCTAAAGAGAGTAWTATAGTTTTGTTCACATAACGGTTGTTTGTAAGTCCTAAAACTAAAAGAGTCAGATATAGGGTTATATACACCAAAGTGATCAGGGTGACGAGTAGAGTTGAAATCCGGATGTCTGTCTGTCTGTCCGTCCGTCCGCGCAAGCTGTAACTTGAGTAAAAATTGAGATATCATGATGAAGCTTGGTACACGTATTTCTTGGCTCCATAAGAAGGTTAAGTTCGAAGATGGGCAAAATCGGCCCACTGCCACGCCCACAAAATGGCGAAAACCGAAAACTTATAAAGTGTCATAACTAAGCCATAAATAAAGATATTAAAGTGAAATTTGGCACAAAGGATCGCATTAGGGAGGGGCATATTTGGACGTAATTTCTTTGGTGTGGGCGTGGCCCCACCCCCTACTAACTCTTTTGTACAAATCTCGGAAACTGCTACAGCTATGTCAACCAAACTCTAAAGAGTTATTTCATTCAGGCATTTCCATTTACAGTTCAAAAATGGAAGAAATCGGATAATAACCACCACCATACAAAGGTTATGTTGAAAATCACTAAAAGTGCGTTAACAGACTAACAAAAAACGTCACAAACACTAAATTTTACTTAAGAAATGTCATAAGGAAGCTGCATCCAGGCTTTTTTTTAAATGGAAAATGGGCGTGGCGTCGCCCACTTATGGACCAAAAACCATATCTCAGGAAGTACTCAACCGATTTCACTGAAATTCAGTATATAATAGTTTCTTAACACCCTGATGACATGTATGAAATATGGGTGAAATCGGTTCACAAAAACGGCTTCTTCCAATATAACGCTATTTTGAATTCCATCCGATGCCTTCTCTGTACAATATATACATTAGGAACCAATGATGAAAGCGGAATAAAACCTTACACAAATACGGTATTTGATGCGAGAGTATAAAATGTTCGGTGACACCCGAACTTAGCCCTGCCTTACTTTTTTTACATAAGGCTTAAGCAGCTCACGACTTTCGGTCTTAGACAAAGTATTTTGTGTGTAGCCAAGAAACATCCGTTTGTAAGCGAGCTAAAGTGATAGCTGAGCTGCAGCTTATTACTATTGAACAAGTACAAYCTCAGCCAACTTACCTTTTCTTTTGATTTGCTCTTCGAGCGCCTGTCCAATGACTTGAACCAGCTGACTTTCTCYGGCTTTGCGAGTGGTGACTCCTTTTTCGGCTTGTCGGATGAGGTACGCTTGAGCAGCAATGGACTAGCTTTGGGTGTAGACAGACGGCGACGCATCGAGATATCCGTGGCCTAAATAAACGAAACGAAACAAGCCAATTAAGTAATATGCTAATTTCTAAGAGTACATGTATATTAAATGATTTATTGTAAGCGCTAGAACTAGTTCGCAATTGACTGCGGACGGCGGCGCGTGGCACAATTCTACGCCCATAAAAAGGAGCGACATTTACACACACACACACACATAACTGCATATAAAGTCAGCAAATAATGGCACACAGCGACTGTGGAAAAATGCAGCAACCTGTTGGTGAGTCAACAATAACAAAAACAACAGCAATGCTGTTGGCACACAGGTGCCAAGTGCTAAAATGGAATACTGAAATGTGTCTGCGCGGACAAAATCAACCCAATGAACTCTGCGGTACCCACAAACCAATAGAGGCATGTGCGCATGTATGCGAAGCGGTCATATGATTGAAAAAAAAACAACAACAAACGTTTTATGCACACTGGGTTACTGTGCCATAATAATAACAACAACAAGCAACGCCTTAGACACTCGAAAACCAACAGACGTACCTCCACCCGCTGCCTGCGCTCAAAGCAACTGCTCGCATGTATGGTTGCAGCTATGTATGTGTGTCTGTTGGTGTATGTGTGCAGCTGTCGTTGTCTCTTGCCTGTGGCCTAATAAGCGAAACGTGAGTTCACATGCTAACAATACCTGTTCGCTGCACAGCCCCCAAAGCCATACACCAGCCACAATCGCCACCACCACAACAGCGCCACCGCAAAGGCACACCGCACAGTTCACCAAAAGTACCGTAAATGCGCTGCAACAACAATATTGCTCGTAACTGTTGTTGGTGTTGCTGGTRCAATAATATGCACAACAAGTGCAACTTGTGGTCTATGTATGAAGGCAGCATGCCATAAGACACCACAAGGCGGCAACAACAACCACGWTGCCATAATGTATATGTTGCATGCAACCACATGCACACCACAAATGTGGCGGTTGACCACACGAGCCCGGCCCATTGGCAATTGATTTCTTGCGGCTTCAACTTCGACTTTATATAACCGCCTGTGCGCGGCGCCAACCGAACGTCCGCCCGCCGCTATGCCCTGTTATAGTTTCCAGCCAGCTACCAACGAGCCAGCGCGCAAGCGCCCACAAAAAGTTGCAACCAAACGTGTTTGCCTAGTTTACTGTGGTTGCTGTGTTTTTTTTTTTTGCTGTTTTTTGTCGTCTTTTTGTTGTTTGCCGCTGATATTAGACCTGATTATTGGCGGTATCTGTTGTTGTTGCTGTTGTAGMTTTTTGCTCCAATTGTGGTATGTATCGATTTAGAAACAAGCTGCATTTGGGCGCCGTGACTTACTTTCATTTCAAAAATTTTTCCCCTTAACCGCCGGTGCTCCGCCCTTTGCGTCGTTGGCACTTTGTATTTGGCAGCGCTGCCCGTTGCTCAGGCGAGTGTGTTCATTTTCCTCGAATTMKCTTTCAATTAGTGCAAATATTTATGCTCACAAGYGCCAAATTTGCATTGCATAGCTGCATCCGCACACCAGAGTCCGCCGCTATGCCAATGTTTTAGGTCGTGCATTGCATGCCAAGCGCTAGGGTTCGTATAAACTTCAGCGAYYACATCGTCAAAGTCTCATGGCGCGCCGACTTGAGCTGATGACAGGCAAGAGCGCCGCCACCTGCAACTCTGGCGAGCCAASCTRCACCTGAAACGAGCCGACTTGYATCTCTRSCGARCCAACCTCTTTACTGACCCAWCCCACATCCCCATCAAKCGTACGCCAGACATACAAATTCTCAAAGCAGTTAAAACGYTCATGTGTAAGTATTCGCCCGCTTCATACCCTCTTCACGTGAAATCTCCTGGTTGCTGTACTAATGAATTTGTTAAAAAGGTCAGAGGCTTTGGCAGCGTTTCGGTACAAGTTTCGAAGCGTCTTTAATTTTGGTTGTTGCGGTGCAGCGCTTTGGAGAACACACTCCTTTAACATGTAATTCAATTAGCTGGAGTGTTTACAACAACAAACTGGTGTAGCGGTATAACTGCACTTTGGCCGAACCCTACACCCACTAGGACGTGTTTTTTTCGATATCGTTAGTATCTATTCGTGACAATGCCCGGGATCTCGTAAAAATTATGTCGGGATTTTTGAGCCTCAAGAACTGGCACACTAGACTTGAAAATGGCGTTTTTTTGTGATTTCCAAGATAAAATAAAATGCATAATTTTTAATGTTAGGGCCAAAAACTTAGATCTTTTTATAAAGCTAGGGGTTTGTCTTTATGTTTCAAAAAATATTTCGGACAAAGAACTGCCGCGCTAGGTTCGAATAAATTGATACCGAGAAGCCCATTTCCTACCACTTTTTACAGCGACTTCACATAATTCCACAAAAAACAGTCTAGCAMGATCTACGCCCTTGGCCCCGACGCGGGAATATGCGCTCAAAAAAAGTTTCCTYCAATAAATTGATTATCTCCTGAGCTATATGGCATGTATCGCCGTCTTCTTGGAASCCAATGTCGTCCATATTATTATTCTTCAATTCAGGCACGAAAAAGTTATAAATTATGGCTCTGTAGCATTACCTATAGCATTCCCCATTGACTGTTACATTATTTTCCAAAATCTGCCCGTAGATGGACTTTTGAGAATTTAAAACCATCTCAACAATGGCTTGTGAACTATAATCACTTCAAATGCGTCATTTTCGTTCCTTGACGACTTTTTTGCAGAAATAGAAATCGTGATCGATGGCCGTCTAGTTTTCGGTGTTCGTTTCTCCATTCACCTGATGTGTTACGCGTTTCGTGCTCGTTTGGCTTCAAATCTTGTACGAATTGGATATTGTGAGCCCGTATACCCAGATCCTTGTGTAAAATCATCCATAAAGTGGATGGACATAGAGACCCTATGTATCCATGTATCTTTGATACTCTGCTCTACAGGAGCAATACGGTCTTCTGCGTACTGTACGGTCTCAGAGGATATATTATTATCCATTAGGGAAAAAGTAGTGCGAAAACGATCCATGTTTGCTCGATCTACGACTCTGCTGAGAGTCCCGAATTTTTCGGTATTGAAAAAATGAGATTTCTCTATTTCGAAATTCCGGTATTAACATACCTAGCTATACATGTAATTTAAGGTATTGTACCGATTTAAGTGAGCGCATTTATTCGCTTCGAAGAGGTCAGAAAGTTAATTGATTTTCACAACTACTCAGTGTTGTCTGCTGTAGATTTGCAAAGAATTTTGGGAGGCGCCTAATAGCAAATGAACTATATAGTATATTGAAATGTGTTTTGCCATTAATGCTGTCACTAAATCAGAGCGTGAATGATAATTAAATTTTTTTAATTTTTTGAAACTTTTTATATTATTTTGGCGCTTTTKTTTTTGCTGCGAATCGCTGATGCACCGCAAAAAATGAATAAATTTCTTAATCGGATGGATACTGGTGAAGAAAAGTGGCTCACTTACGACAAAATTGAGTTAAAATGTTCGTGGTTGGATCTTATTTTTTGCAAATGGTGGCCAAGGTAGTATTCGGATAGTGTTTGCAGGGTTTAGCAGGGATGTCCATGGTTTCTGTATCGCACTTTGAACCAGAAGCGTTCAGCTTTGATCAATAGTGGACGAATTGGGTTCAATGGGTTTACATGACTCATTCCTACGAAAGTCGGATTTACGTAACCGGAACGGAGCCGGGGACTTGCTACCATGTGATTAGTGAAAAACTCGCCGCAGGGAAACTTCTGAAAATCGATGGTCCAAGCCAATATACWTACATAGAATTAAACGCATCTGGASACTCTATTGACTTAGATAACATTCCAAGCATAATACCCAAAAGTATCAATTGAAGATCAATTTTTGGACTTACGTTTGATTGAGTTGGATGATCTTGATATAATCTCTCTTTATCTCTTTGGAGATTAGGCTTCTGTGCTGACATGAGGTTGAGTTTAGCTCGGTGGATGTAACTTCTAATGTCACATGGAAGCATTGATGGTACTATAATAAAAATTTTGCTGAGATTCCGCGGTGGCTTAGTTCTTGCTCTAAAAAGCTTTCCCAAATGTTTCTTTACAAATACCATAAAAACTGAAAAAGAGACGGGCTCTGGTGACTTCGCCSAAAAAGTTAAGGAGTTATTCTTTTATAAGAAATTTGGATGGAATGACTTGGCGCGTACGTCGAATTCGAATAGGGCTTGTGTAAAAACTGAGGCCGATGGACCTTCGCTTTATCCAAKAAGATCTGACGATTTCGATTCAAATTTTGTTCAGCGATGAGGCCCATTTATGGCTCAACGGGTATATAAACAAATAGAATTGCCGTAATGACTGAAATTGAAGCTCGTAATCTGGGCGACAAATGGTTTCACACATSGCATCTATCAATGGATTTATTGGGAGCACACGTCGGCGAGCAGATAATTTCAGGTTTTAGGCTGATCGATTGGCCACCAAGATCATATGATATCACACCGTTAGACTTTTTTATGTGGSGATATGCAAAGTCTAGAGTCTATGCGGACAATTCCGCTTCAATCGGATTGGATATTCGGAAAACTTCACGCATGTCATTCGCCAGTTACGAGTCGAAATGCCTAAACGAGTCATAGAAAATTGGGCTCAGCGGATCGACCATCTGAGACGTAGCCGCGAACAACATTTGAAAGGGATAATATTCAAAGAATAAATGCCAAATAATGTTCTTTCGAATGATTACAAACATTCCCCATTTAATTTGAGTTGTAAAATTTCTTCTTTAATAAAGTAGGGAACCTCGAAGTGCATTACCCTTTATACATTTTCTTTGGTTATGTCATACTCTTCAAATAACAATTCAACGTTGTTAGTGCTTGCAACTCATGAACCATAAATTATAGGTTAGATTTTATGGACGTTAAATGTTCTTTTACCCAAAAACAAATTTAAATTATAAATTTTAAGTATTCTACTATGGTTATTTTAAAACTTTTATTTAGAACAACACAYACATTCCATACACATCGCAGTAACTAGT